AAACTTGCTTTTATCTGATGTTAAGATAAATAAGCCGTTCACTCGTAATAACTACTTTTTCATAATATAAAATTTCACAATCGATAGCTGCCAAGTCGATAAATTTTAGCCACAAGCTTTCTACACCAAAGCGCATGGAAATTTAATAGATTACAGAAATTAAATGAAATCATGAAAACTGAAAAGGAAGAAAACATAAAGACTTTACACATTATTATTCACGAGTAAACAATTTACAAAGCAGTCTGATAGACAGCGCACGAACTCAAACATAGTACAGGGTGTTGCCGGGTATGCGCGAACGCAGCAAAGTGGTAGAAGCGACTGGCAGAGAAAATGGTGAGATAAGTGCACCCGCTGCCGCTGGTGGCGGCGGCAAGTTGGCACTGGCAGAATTATAGTTGACACGCGATTTGGATGCGTTAGCGCTAGCATTGTTGTTGCATAGGTTTTTGTTGGCCTTAAATGGTGACGGACGCAAATAATTGACAGCACTGTGTTGAGCATTGCCAGCAGTTTTATAATTTATGTTGGCATCTGCAAAGCTATTGTGGCGCGTGCAATTCGCTGCGGAAAATGATGAATAAGAATAGAAAGTGGTTGAAGAAGTTGAAGTGTGCGAAGAAGAAGAAGTGAGACTAGTATTAGTAGTTTGGTTGCTGGTAATTGTTTGTTGGTTAAGTGTGGTTTGGGTGCAAGTATTGCTTATTAGTGTTGTTGTTGTTGTTGTTATGGGTGCGATAGTAGATGTAGTGGTGTTGGTGCAAACAGTGCGCGTGTGCAACGTGGACGGCAGCGCAACTGAACTTGCGCTGCTTTTAATGTTAGTTGTTATTGTTGTTGCTGTTGGGGTACCGTGTTGACTTGCAGTGTATTGTATACTATATGCTTTCGCATTATTGGTATTTTCATAGCAACTAGCCGCGGCTAGCGTAATTGTGGGTATGGGATAGATGTAGTCTATCGCATCCTCGAAGCACTCGTCATCGGTCGAGTTACGGTTCAAACTATTGCCGACATTTTTGAGCAATTCTTTTTTACACTTATTTACTGTAGTGGCAGCACTTTGTTTGCTATTTCTGGCAACTACACTAGTGGGCGTGGGGGGCGGACACACTTTGGCGGCGGCGCACTCAGTGCGTTCACCAGCATTGTTACCAAAAGAGAATGAAGCGCTGCGTTGTTGCGGCGTGCCAGTAGCTGACATGAGTTGGCTGGTTGCAGAATTGGCGTCGCGCTGCTTGGCATGTATAACGCTGCCACAATGAAACTCATTGCTGCGCGTGCGCAATATAGCTGGCCCAGCGGCGGGCGCTGTTGCGGCAGCGTGTTCGATTTGTAAAAAGCGCGCATATTGCGGTTTATTGAGCACTGCAGGCGTTTTGCGTGGCCGTTGGGCGGAAGTGTTGGCGGCTGCTTCCTCTGTTGGCGATGTTTCAAATAATGTGTGGAACATAGTGTATTTGCTTATAGGCTTTTTCGTTGTTGTTGTAATGTTTGATTTATTGTCAAACGCTAAATTGTTAGTGTTGTGGCGTGTGGCGCCGCCATTGGCAGCTGTGTTATTTGGGTTCAGAGCATTGGTAGTAATTTTTTTGCAATTATTTTCGCAAGCGTTTGCACTTGCCAGTTGAAAATCGCGCAAAAGACTTGGCTGCGTGGCGCCACGCACATCGAATGCAATAGGTGACGCCGCTGGGCGTACTGCTGATTTGTTAGTTTCTAGCTCCAGTTTTTGCTGCGCTTGCTGCTGCTGCGCTACATTCACTATCGGCTGACGTTGCCAAAATCCGCTTGCATGTTTTTTACTCGTTTTTTCTCGTTTGCTCGAGCCGACTGCTGTTGTTTGCTCCGCTTCGTTCTTTATTGTTTCCGTCAACGTTTCTATGTCTTTTTGCTGCTTCATTTGCGCCTGCAACTTAAATTGTGGCAACGCACTCGCAGGCGATGCCTCCACCTTTGTTGCCGTCGGCGCTGCGTGTGTGTGCTGAAACAAACGCTTCACTGGCAATGGCGGTTTTTGTTGCGCTACTGGCCGTGGCTGTGGCTGCGCCGATTTGCTTTTCTGCTGCGGTAGTGTCGTCAATAACATTGGCAACGGCAAATCGGTGGGCCGTTGTGGCAACGTCAGCGGCGGTGGCGGCAAGTGTGCCGCAGCTGCGCAAGTTTGGACTGGTGCGTCGCGCTTGTCGGAATTTTCGACGTGCGGCGGCGACCGCGTTGGTTGTTGTGAGGCGTTGCATGCTATTTCGTGCTGTGTTTGCAATAAAAGAGTCGTCTCCACCAAATTGGATTGCAGTGGCTCTTCGGATAAAAGCGCTGCTGGTGCTGCAACGCTCACTGCATTTTGCGGCTTCTTTACTATCAGCGGCTGCTCCAGTTGTTGTTGTTGTGGCGGCTGCTGTTGCTGCTGCTGTTGTTGTTGTGACATTATACCCTTGTCTAAAATTGGGTAATCTGCAAAAATTGTGTGCATTTTTTGTTTGTTCTATTTTCTATTGTTTTCTTTGCAAATATGAGAGAACTGGCTGAGGTATTGAGCGATTTTCTATTCATTGGCTGATGAAATCGAACAGTTATGTAAATTTTGAAAATAATTAAATGCATTTGTGGGATTTTGGTAAGAAAAGTATACGGATTTTGAAAAAAAAGTTGAAAAAAGTGCGCTTAAAATGGTGTGTAAAAAGTTTTGAAGGATTTGTTGCTACTAAAGCGCAATATATTTGCCAATTTGAAGTTGTTGTTGGTGGGAAATTAAGATATATGCTTGAAAGTTGCTTTTGAATAGACTAACAATGAAAGTATACCTTAGTAGAATACTAAGCTTAACGAATAAGAAAGTTTTTGTCAACGCAAGACCATGTAACTCGCTCGATTTACAATTTTTGTCATCGATAAATGTAATTATCGTTCTAACGAGCTGTGCAAGTAACTATATTTTCATGACAACATGTTTTATAATAATGCATGCTGGAAGCCTGAACATTATGGCTGAAGAAGAATACTACAAGTACGTCGATAAAGAATTATAACTAACTTAACAGAAGCGCGCATTTGTATGAAGATAGCGCTTGAGCTGAGGGCTAATAACGCGCTACTAGTTGAAGACGCATATATTTGAGTGCGATGAGCGAATCATGCGCAGTGGTGTGTGCAATTTGAATGCTGAAGCCGTGATAGTCAAAGCTTGGAACTGCTGCTAAGTAAACTCAGCAAAAATAAACTTGATTGAGCTGAATAATACTCGTTATTAGTAACATATATTACAGGCTATCTCAGACATATGAAACACAGAGTGGCTAATTATTTCAGGTTTCATTTTTCGAATATTTCTGTGCTATAGCTGGATGTCTCTGAAAAAGCAGTGTACCAAAAGTTATAAAACTCGGAACTCGAACTGTTGAACCGGTATTTCGAATAACGCTTGTGGATCCAATGCGCACAAAAGTAGAGAAAAGAACACTATAAAACATTCGGTTGGAAAAAAATAATAATCTGGCGTGAAGTTTGGAAATTTTTTTTTTAATTTTAACCACAAAAGCGTTTATTTTTTAGGGCTCTATCTGCGTAGAGTTTTAAACTGCCAATATAATTTTAACAAAAATGGACTTGAAAACACGTGTTTATGAAATAGAATGTATGATATTTTCAACTAGCAAACAAATGAACGATTTTGAACAGCCGAAAGTGTGTTTGGAGAAAATTTTCATTTCACGGTAACACTGAAAACAGGTTGTATACAACAAAGGGGACTTTTGGTAATACCACCAACCTTAAAATTTTCAAAATTTTACGAAATGGTGTTGTTAGTATTTTCAAAATCTGTTTTTTCTTGCTAAATCTACACTGTTTGAGCTCATCGAAACAATCGAGCAGACAAGGCGGTAACTCAGCGGTATTGAGCGTATTATTGTCAACTGTAACAGAAGTGGCTGAAACTGAAGAGAGAAAGAGAGAGAGTAAAGAAATAGTGTTGCTGAAAACGTAAAGTTTTACGTGCAAGTTTTACTTGTTGCTTACAAAATTAGCGGAATTTGGGACACACTGAGAGTAATTTTTTATATATTAATTTTTTTTATAAATTCAAATTTTTAAGCGCGTTTTGATATTATCTTTTAGATATTATAATTAATTCTTTGTGAATTTAAGCTTTATTGTATGTTGTTGTTTTGCAATATTCAACTGTGTTTAATGTCTTGTGCGCCAATTGTTGTTTGTGTGCGACGTAATTTCAAAAATATTGTTTTTTTTTTGTATCACAAATTTTTGTATAACAAAAATGTTCAAAATTTCAAAAGTTGTTTATATTAGTAGTGTTGTTGTAGTGTTACTAAGGGTACACAAGTGCAAAAAAGTAATTTTAGGTTAGAAGAGTAAGAAAACACACAAAAACGAGAGTATAAAAATAGGGGTACAACCGAAAGCTGATAGAAGTTGGTAAGATTGTAATTATAGTATTATATTTTAGGAAAATTAAGTTGTCTTTAGTCGATAAAAAAACACAAATTATTGTAAAAAATTTGTTAGAAAACATAGAAATTTCAAATTATTTATGCAAAAGAGCAGCAAACGAGACTAAGACCATGGAAAAAACGCAAACAAAAATGTAGAAAGTTACTACAAACACTTATAAGACAGCTTAACAATTAGAAAAGTAGAAATGATAACAACAAATATACGTGTAGAAGAAATTTAGTCGAACAAAGACAATACAAATAAACTAAATAGAGACATTTTCGTATATAATATTAACAAACAAACAAACAAACAATAACATAGAAAAGTAGAATTTTCTAAAGCAAAATTCAAAACAAACAAAAAAAAACATTTAACAACAAACATATGTAAATGATTGTTGCATATGAAAGCCAACAAATGTGATGAAGAATTTTTCGTGTTTTCCATTTTTTCTTCGTATGTATGTAATTAATATTATTAGTTGTGTAATGGTTAATGACAAGCAATGACAGCAATTAGGCATTGAACTTTGAATCACTTACCTAATGGCAAATTCCCCAGTATATTTTTCGTTGGCGTATTTGTTGCGCTGCTGGCATTATTGGCGGGTGACGAGGTATTCGCCGGCGTTGGCAGTTGTATAATCTCATCAACGGCTACATGATGGTGTCGCGCTGGTGAAGAATCCGTTGTGTCATTTAATGATACATTTTCATAGGCGCCTATCAGCGCATCATTGCTGTAGGAATCGTCAATGATTAGCGATGCCTCGGAGGGATATTCAAAGGTGGAGGTGAGCGTATCATTGAATTGTACGCGGAACTGTATGTGGTGGAAAAAGAGAAAAGTTGCAACATATAATAATCTATATAAATTTAAATTTTATAAAAAATTGGTTTACAAAATATTTTGAAAAATTAGGAATCAACTTTTATTTAAAAAAAATAGGTAAAAAAAAAATTAACAGAATTATTAAAACAAATGTTAAAAAAAAAGTTAATTGATTAATTTTGAAAACATAATTTTATGTATAAAAAATATTAATTTAAAAAAAATTTTATATTAAAATAATTATTTAATATGTAACAAATTCAAAAATTGAGAAAGATAGCGGAGATTTTTTATTAAAACAAATTTAAAATTTTAAAAGAAAAGAAAAATAAAAATATTATAATAATAATATTTAAGAAAAATGGTACAAAAAATTAATTATTTATACAATATAGAATAGTAAAATAAATTAAAAAAATTATAAAATAAAAGTTTGAAAACGGAAATAAAAAAAAATTAAAAAAAAATAATAATTTTAGAAAATATTATATTAAAATAATTACTTAATATGTAATAAATACAAAAATTGAGAAAGATGGCGGAGATTTTTTATTAAAAAAAATTTAAATTTTTAAAAGTGAAGAAAATTAAAAAAATAATAATATTTAACGAAAATGGTACAAAAAATAAATTTATACAAAAGAATTAATTTTTTATACAATATAGAATAGTAAAATAAATTAAAAAAATTATAAAATAAAAGTTTGAAAACGGAAAGAAAAACAATTTTAATAATAATAATTTTAGAAAATATTGTATTAAAATAATTATTCAATATGTAACAAATACAAAGATTGAGAAAGATAGCGGATATTTTATATTAAAAAAATTTTTAATTTTTAAAAGTGAAGAAAATTAAAAAAATAATAATATTTAATGAAATGGTACAAAAAAAAAATATTATACAAAAAAATTAATTTTTTATTCAATATAGAAAATTATAAAATTATAAAAATTGTAAAAGATAGCAGAAATATTTTATGTTTAAAAAAATTATCAACAAAATTTAGAGAGAATATTATAAAATAAAAATAAAAAAACGAAAGTAAAGAATTTAAAAAACAAAAATATTTTAAAATAGAAAATAAAAACGTATTTAATAATTATTAAAAGACTATACTTTATATATATATGTATGTATATCAAATAAATAAAACATTCGCAAGTGTCAAATCAGTTTACACTAAAATTTTTTTTAAATAAAAATGGTTTTACGCTGACATATTATTTTTATTTATTTTTATTACGCTCATTTCTAATCTAATAATCTCTACGAAACTATATTATAAATAATTTATTGCACTTTTTTGCAATCAAAATGCAACTTTTCACCACTTGTAGCTAAATAGAGCGCAGAACTTTATATAATATAGCAATGACTTATGCACAACTTGGCACTATTTATGCTTTGAATTTGTTTTTGTATATATTTACATACTTATATTAATGTATTACACAGAGTTATCAGTATGCAGACAGTAACAGCAACTTTGTACATTTCTTCCATACACAACATTTATGTTAAGCCGCGATCTTTACAACAAACGCCTGTTACATCACAACACAAAAAGCTTAAGTTACAAAAAATACATACAAATGTATTGCCGTAATTCGATTTTAACTATGCTGAAAAGTGGGCACTGAAGAAAACTATTTATTTATAATCACAATCAAAGGTGTTGCCAGCAAATAGTTGAATTGTAATACAATTGGAGCGTGTGACGAATTAATTTTATTTGAAATGCAATAGTGACGAAATCTATACGCAAATACATGTACATACATATGTATATAGCGGCCAACAAAATCGAAAAATAACACTCATTATTCCGTTATAGAAAAAAACTGTCCATATTTACACACATTCAAATGCACTTTGGCAATACTTAATATTTAATGAGCGAAATGTATTAAGAGGCATTATATTGTACGAATTAGTTGTTTGGTGTTTGAGAAGCGGTATATTATGATATGCATGCATAAACATGATTGATGATATTTACCTATTTGTGTTGTAGATAAAGCGCACTTGAAATTATTTAACAAAAATTTGTACTTTTTTATAGCATTATGTGATAAATTGAATAACAGTAAATTATTAAAAATTTAGTAGAAATATAATAGTAATAAAGAGTAGACAAAAGAGCACTCTTCCATACGGGCACGTGTTCCAAACAGTTCAGGAGCGATTTCTCACGTATTGCCTTGACAGGGAATTAAATACTATTTGGCCCATTTTAACTGAAGATTTGGTTAAAAAAAAGGTATATGCGAGTTTTGTTTCACATAAATTAAATGAATACCAAATAGTGAACGATTTGTTGATGAAACAAGAAAAAGACGTTAGCTAGGGTTGCACCGAAGCTATAATAGTCAGTTTGTATGGCAGTAAGGCAGCTATATGTTATAGTGACTCGTTCTGAACAATTTCTTCAGTGATTGCACGGTTGCCTCGGACAATAACCCATGCCAAATTTCGGACGGACATGGCTAAATCGACTAAACTTGTCACGCGGATCATTTATACACATATATACTTTATATGGTCTCTGACGTTTCCTTTGGGTGTTACAAACTACGTGACAAACTTAATATACCCTGTTCAGGGTATAAAAACGGATTTCTCTCATCAACCATTCACCGCATTCGTCTGATCTATCACCAAGTAATTGGAAACTTCCTAAAAATAAAAGAAATAAACTAACGTGGTGCCTGCCTTTAAATTTCATAATAAAAATCAATTTATGGCACTTTTATTTTATGCCCCCTACATCGTTAATAATATTCACGCCCTCATTTTGAGCATACCATGGAAACTGTTGACGCATTTTAATCGCCACGAGTTGACATAGGACGTATGTGAAACCGGAAATAACACTTTAGCGCTTACAATCAAAACCAATGCAGCTTTAATACTTGCACAGGCAGAGTCGAAGAAAATATATGCACTCCACACAGAATTATGTATATGCAGGCAATTGACATACATATGTATATACATATGGTATATACTACATATTATGTTGTGCGCTTTTGTTTCATCCAGGCGCATATTTTATAACAAAAAGCACAAAATTCAAAGTAAATAGGAGAACACTAGTGAAAAGGGGGCCACAACATGAAGAAATTTCGCGCTGGAATTTCAATTCATTTTCATGCCCGGTTGGTCGTCTGCTTATGGCGTAATTGTCATGCGCATAGAATTTGTGAAAACCGAGTAAACAAAATATTCAAACATTAATTTGTGCATATCATTAGCGTTTGAAACGGCAACAAAAGCAAAAATAGTGCGCTGCATAGTGTACCCCTCCATATATACGAAACAATTCCGATTAAAGCGCTATTACGGTTGACTGTGGGTTGCCTAAAATGTATGCATGTCAGCGTATTTTGCTAATTTGCCTACCAAATAGGCATGTTAGAAATTTTGCTACACTTATTTTTCATTTAACTGTCAATTGCTAGCGAAAACAATAGATAGCGAATGTGAAATACCGACACAAAAACCGATTGGGGTGAAACTAAAAGCAAAAGTTAATGGAATGAAAAAATGTGACAGCATTCGCGCTTGAGAATGAACATTAATATATGAAAATTTTTCGAATTCCAAAAAAAAATATTTGAAAATAACTGTGAGAGACTATTTATTTTTCAAATAGCGCTCATTATATTAAAAAATGTTATAATAACACAAAAAAATAATAATTGAAATAAAACAATAAATAAAAAATCAAAATTGAAATAAAAAATAATTAAAAAATAAAAAATGAAAAAAAAAACAATAAAATTAAAGTAAAAAAAAAATTATAAATCATAACTAAAAATATATAGTAACAAAACCAAATAAATTAAAAAAAAAATATTAAATAAAAGTTAAAAAAAAAAAAATTAAATTAAAATATATAGCGAAAAAAAAAACAAATAAAATTGAAATAGAAATACAAAAACAAAAACAAATAAAAATAATAAATTTTTCACATAAATAAAAAAAAATTATAATAATTAAAAATTAAACAAAAAAAAATTATAATAATTAAAAATGAAACATAAATAAAATAAATGGAAGTAAAAGTCAAAAACAAAATTAAATAAAAGAGAAATAAAAATAGATAGCGTATTTTAAAAAATTTGTTGTTGTTTAATGTTTTTTCCTTTTTCTCATTTATATATTTTCAGTTTATAGAACGAACACTAAAATATGAAAGTATCTAACCTTGCAAAAATAATATACACATACATATAGTAAATGTGGGAGGATATTTACTTTACAAATAGCAATATATAAACCAAATTTTTGTTGTAAAAGAAAGCAAAATTTAAAAAATACATAAATAGAAACAAAAAAAATTTAAATAGAAGTTTAAAAAATTAATATATTATAAAAATATTCTATTAATTTCTTTTTGTTTAATTTTTTTCTTTTTCATATAATATATGTTTTATATACATATGTATGTACATACATAAATTTTTCTTAATTTATAGAATGAACAAAAAAATTTTGAAAATTTTAATTTTGCAAAAATAATATATGTATATAAAATTAAATATTGGAGAATATTTACTTTAAAAAGCAATATATAAACTGAAAAAAATTTAAGTAAAAAAAATTAAAATGGAAATAAAATAAACAAAAAATTAAAATGAAAAGGGAAAGGTAAATAAAAAATATTTGTATTATTTTTTGTTTTATATAGAATATATATTTTCTCCCTATTTACACACAACTATACTAATATAAAAGAACAACATTTAATAAAAAAAAAATACAAGTTAAAAATAAGAAAAAAATAAAAAATAAAAAACTGACCTAGTTAGTGTTAACTAACTAAAAAAAAAAAAAAATTAAAAAGAAAAAAATTAAAATAGAAATAAAAAAATTAAAATAGAAAAAGTTAAAATTAAGAAGAAGAAATATCAATATACAAGTATAGCGCGTTTGATTTTTTGTCGTTTAAACTTTTTTCTTTTAATATATATATATATATTTTTTTGTTTGATATACATTACATACATTTTGTTTGATATACAGTTTAACCCATTCTTAGTAAAATTGCGACATTTTATTTTGTATTGTTTCCTTAATTCTAGCACGTTTCGCTTATCTATCAATTCTTATCTATTTTACATGAACGCAATTTTATCCTCATACTTAAATTTTCTAAAGTATTATACATATGTTTATTATATTATTCATATTTGTGTACATTAAATACAAAATATAGAGTATAGAATTTACATTTCAAAATATAGTGTACGTATTTATTCGAAATTCAACACAATTTGAAAGGAATTAATTCAATTCTGTGCCTTTAACCTTTCTGATCCCTAACCTTTTCAACAAAGTTCGAGTTGTCGAAACAAAAGTTACCATGTCAGAACACAGACACATGAAGAAAAGTGAACTAAGCAGTTGGTCGATGTCAGCGCGATATTTATTTGATTTTTTATCATATTGAAACTAAAAACTATTATTTTGCGAATAAAATTTAATTTTTATCATCTTTAAACTGAAAACTATTAATTTGCGAAAAAATTTAAACATAACCAAAAAATTAGGATACCAATGTATCTATAAAATAAATTTTTTAAATTAAAATAATTCAGAACGTTATCTGTGAAATTCTTATTTATTTTAATTCGTTTAATTAAGCATAATTATTAAAATTTAAAAAAAGATTGCTTATTATTAGCGGCTTTCACCTCTTAAAGACTGCCAAAGGCGCTACCAGATGTTCGGGTGTTAGCCTCAGTAACACTAGTAGAAATCACACTTCTCTAAAATACACAATTCCGTACACAAATAAAAAATCACTTAAGGTTTTATAATAAATTTAAAGTTAGGCAATATTTAAACAACAATAAAAATTAAAATAAAAAGTTTAATTAAAAAAAATAGAATTAAAAAAAGAAAATTTAATAAAAAAATATTATTAATTAAAATTTTAAGTCAACATTTTTATCGATAACATGATTTATGGCCTCTTGTGGAAACCTTTGCGGTCACCATATGCATATGGAACGTGCTGATAATAATATTCTATTTTAATAAATTGCCACTGAATATCGAAATGGTAAAAACTAACTTATGCTATCAAACTTACGCGAAGAGTCATCATTTACGTAACCAATTATCAGTAACTGAACAAACTAATCTTATCAAAACAAAAAGCAAACGCAGATTGTAATGCATAATGTATGATAAGCTTCTAAAATTTATCTACAACGCGTGATAATTTATAGCTAAAACATGCTGTTATAAAACAGTAAATTTAAAATAACAAAAATATGAATCATTTGGTCGCTTCACTTTCTAAACGAGATCGTTAAAAACATTTGTTAATTGCGCTAACCCAAAAGCGCTAAATAAATGGTTGCAATTCCTTTAAATTATACATTAAAATTAAATATAATAGAGACAAATTAGTGGACATTAATTTCTACTATAGTAGAGTGGTTAGAAACCACTACAAATATTTCGCACTTAATTAGTTTTAGACGCTCTAAGGTCTGCATATTTTCTTTTTGATTTTCATTTTTTTTTTGTTTTTTAATACCTAATGGCTTAGGTGAAAACTACAAGTACAACTCAAGAGAGATAGTTGGAGTAATAAAGCGAGAGACAGTATATTAATGAAGTTCACTTTACTAACCGTTGCTTCTTTGGATTTCTGTCGAATGCTTGACTTTCCATCGATCACAATATTAGCATTTTCGAATTCAACATCGCAGGGTGATGGTGGGCACATAGAGAAATCATCATAATCCGAGTCTGTTGAAGTTTCCAATGAGAGATCACCAAGTAGCACGAAACCAGATTCATTTGGCTGCCGAAGAAAAAGAGAGAAATTCAAACAAAAGCGATTAGTATGCAAACAGTTAAGAAAATATATATGTAAGTAAGAAAAAGTACTGCAATAAAAAGAAAATATTGCTGCAAAGGCACAATTTTTATTAAGTATGTATGTATGTGATTGCTTACAAAGCAAACAGCGTCAATTTAGTTGAGGTTATATGCGTAATCATTTATCAAGGTCGTGTCGTTGACATTATTTATATCCATACATACATACAAACAAACATATTTTCTAAAGCGCAAGCCTTTGTACGCTTGATCAAGCAACGTTTGCCACAAATTGACACTTGACTTTGTTGGCGGCGATTCACAGCTGACACAAAACATGACAGCTGGCCAGTTATTGATATAACAAATGCGAAAATACTAATGTGCGAAAAAAAGCAAAGAAATACTACAAAAACGTTGACTTGCATTTTGAAATGAAGCTATATAAAAATATTCATATAAAACTTAATTTGGTCGGTCAGTTTGCATGACAGCTATATGCTATAGTGGCACGATCTGACAATATATTCGGAGGAAGAGCATGGTCTTGGACAATATTTTATGCCAAATTTCGTAAAGATCTGTTGTCAAATTTCCATATAAGAACCTGATTCTGGTCTATAGCTTCTTTGGAAGAAAAGAAGGCATGCAAACTTTCAGACCGATATCTCAAAAACTGAGGGACTAGATTGTGTATATTAAAAGCGACGGTTAGAGAGACAGACTGCCATGGCTAAATCGACTACGCTCGTCACACTGATCATTTATATATAATAAAATACAATTAAAGGGTTTCTGAGGTTTCCTTTTGGATGTTACCAACTTTGTGTTAAACTTTTTTGTGCATACCCTGTTCGGGGTATAAAAGTAAATTACTAAAAGCATGCAATATATATTGCCTATGACAAAGGCGCACAATTGGTACAGCGGCTGGGCACTTTTGCAAATATTTTGCAAGCATATACATCTACGTATGTATGCACATATATGTTCACATAACACTTGCTATATATTTACAGACTTGATATCGTTTTTGCACACGCCACTGACGCGAAACTGTTAAATTGCATTAAAATTGTCAGAAGTGCCGCTTAGCGCGACGGCGGCCTGCTTGAGTTTGGTGCCCTTCTATGCCAACCAGCGCTGATCAGTGATCTTGCGCTTGAGACTCGAGATCAAAACGCCAATCTGACATATGGACAGAGCAACCTTGCATTGTTTGCAAGTCTTATTTCCCATTTGAATTTTTATAAAAGTAGTAAAGTTAACCCATAACTAAGTGCATTACAGGCAGTCAAGTTGGTCGTCACTCAGCTATTTCAATGTGTTATAATTATATTTATGCGAAAAGATAACAAAAAACAATGTTGTCGAGTCAAGCTCGGTTAACGCTTCAAGTATAGCAGCCGTTGACTGACTTGAGGCGCTCTAACAAAGGCAGTGATCACTGTTCGGGCAGACGCATGCTTTAGTGTGTACTAGAAGTTTGAACGGGTTTATACCACATACATTAATATATTTATATTTTTAGAGGCGTATGTAAGCACACAAGCGTGTGGTTAGCTACAATCGCAAGTTTAACGATCTCTGTTATTTAGATGATCATTAGGCCGATCTTGGCTTGGGAATGCCATCGTATAATCTGGGCGACAAAATGGGAACATAAAAAAGAATAACAAAAAAGTATAATAAAAAATAAAAGCAATGCGCTTTAATTGCCTGTGACACAAAAGAAATGCGCGGTTGAATCCCAAGAAAAATAAATGTAGGAAGATATAATAAAAATAAAAGGGGAAAAAAGTGCTGCGAGCAAGAATCAAAGCGTAAGCAAGGTCAATATATAAATTAAGCTTAAGTCGGCTTTGTCTGGTTTAAGCACGAATTTTAGCTCCATAACCAATTGGCGTTGTACGCTCTAAACAACAAAGTATTTATGCTGGAATTATGCAAATTTCGAAAAAAAATTTAAATGCAATAACACTACAATTGGCTGCGCAACGAATTTCGTGCGAATTCATGTAAGGTAGCAACTTTTAATATTTTTTTTTCGCTTAATATTCTTTTTTATAATTTTTTTTTTTGTTTGGTAAGTACTACTTTAATTTGATTTTAAAAATGCACAACTAATTTAATTTCAAGCGCTAATTTATTATAAGTGTAAACAATACACAACGATTTAAGTATAAAAAGACTCATTAAGGCATACTGTATGTGGTAGATATATCGATTTTCGATAACAATGGCAAACAGAGTGCAATTGCAAACAAAAAAAAAAATATTAAAAAAAAAAAATTTTAATGCAAAAAAATTAAAAAGTTAAAGAAAATTATTTTTTAAAAAAGTTAAAAAAAATATTTTTTTTTCTGAATTTTAAAAATTTTTGCGCTTGCATATTTCGTGTTTTACCATTTTGGCTATATTTGTAAATGGAAAGCTTATTTTAACAAAATTTCAACATAAATCAACACTCTTTGTCTTATTTATATTTAATTACTTGTAATTATAGTCTTTAGTAGTTTTGGTTAGAAATATTTAACTCTTTCCTTTTTATCGCTTTTCATTCCAGCTTAATTTTTTTAATTGTCACTCCAATTTTTAAATTACAAAATAATTTTATCAATTTTTTTAATCTGATTTAGTTTTCTAATTTTTAATTTTATTTTATAATTTGAAATTAAATTTTTTCTAAATTGGAATTAAAAACTAAAATTTTAATTTAATTTAAAAAATTAAATGTTTAAAATAAAATTAAAAATTTAATTTAATTTAAAAAATTTGCAACTAAGAAATTTAAAAAATTAAATTTTTAATTTCAATTTTACGGTTACAAATAAAATTTTCTCAAAATTGGAATTAAAAATTTTATTTATATTAAAAAAAATTAAAATTGAAAATGTTATTTTGTGTAAAAATTTAAAATTCTATATTTTAAATTTCAATTTTACAGATATTTAAACGTAGTAGAAACTACAATTTTCTAAAAACAATAGTACACCCTCACATATATGATAATTATGTTTTCAACTTCTTTCAGTATTTTACTCTTCTCATTGCAAACCTTTATGAACACTGTAATCAGCGCTACTGACAACTAACAATTGCCGTTAGCTGTCATTTTCTGTTTTTTTGACAATACCTAGTAATTATGTTGTAAAATCAATTACGTACATACATTAATTACTAAGCTCATCCGAACCACTAGTATTTATAAATGTATGTAAAGCAACCCATGTGGCTAAGAGCACCCACAAAACCACTGCCTCAGTAAGATAAAATATCATAAAAGAAGAGTATTGCTACTAAGTAGCGAAAAATAAGAGTTTGCAATTAAGAAATTACCTACTTAGCAGAGTTACACGTGTAAGCTAGTACCGACATGCCTACCATATACTAGAAATGCATGCATACTAAGCAGCGAGGTAAATAGATAGTTAACCAACAAACTTCATAAATTTTATCTTGCTGCGCTACAAAATAACTGTTAAAGCGCACGAGATACAAGATAGTATTTGAAAATGTGCATTGGAGCTGCAAGAGTTATGTATTGTAGTTGAGGCAGTAGACATGCCTTATATACTTCTATCAGGGTGTGTTAGGCAACTGCTAGTTATAACTGCAACCAAAAAGCTAGTTATAAAATATAAAAAAGGCTAAAAAAAAAGAATAATCCTCTTTAAATTTGAGCTCCTAATATTAATATTAAGAGGTGCCTGTTACTAACTTTCTATTTCCCATTTTAGACACATGGTAAAAATATTTTTTTTTGTTTTTAATTTGTGTAGCTTGATAATTTGAGCATTAGAAACTGAATTGAAAAATTATATTCTGTCATCAAATTGAGCGCCCTATAAAAGAAGTCTGATACACTCTACAAAAAACTCTGCTAAATTTTGAACCAATCTGAAGATTTCAAATGTATGAAATTATGATTTTTATAATACCCTGATCAGGTTATATTAAATTGGCCACAAATTGTGTTACACTCCGAAGGAAACGTCGAAAACTCTATAAAATATTTATATATATGTATAAATTACCAGCACGATGAGCTAAGTCGAGCCATAACCGTCTGTATATACGCGAACTAGTCCCTCAGTTTTTGAGTAATCAATCAGAAATTTTGAACACCTCCTTTTCTCTCCAAGCAGCTGCTCATTTGTCGGAACCGTTGGTAACGCACTATTATAACACATAGCTACCATACAAACTGAACGATCGGAATCAAGTGCTTGTATGAAAATCTTTTTTAATTGACGAGATATCTTCAAAAAATTTGGCAGGGGTTATAATCTAAGGCAATGGTGCCAAGTCTCAAAAAATTGTGCAGATCGGATCACTATAGCATATAGCTGACTAAGTTCTTGTGTGGAAACTTTTTTATTTGGGAAAGGTATTATATGTACTTGGTTTCGCTGCAACTGAAGTTAACGTTTTTTCTTGCTTTTTTTTAAGTTGCCTAAAAATGACACATCCTAATATGTGTGTATGCATATTGACTGCTTGTATGCACTCGCGCTTCACGGTCGTTATAAAGATTTCACGGTAGCGCAAATTTTCAGTTTACATTTTTTCTAACTTACTTCATTTAGGTGATTTTGAGACTGTATATACTTACAAACATATGTATATATACACATACATATACATACATATGTTACACGACTTTTGCCAGTACTGGATTTTCTAATTGAGTTTTTTGCACTGTTTGTTGCTATATATACGTTTTTTTACCGTGTTTTATTGAAAGCGAACGAGACGCATTTGGAAAAACCTGTTAACTGTTGAAAGCCATACAAATACAATGGCAATCAATTTACAACATATTGCATTTTGTCTGTGACAAATGAAATAGTGGCAGCAAAATTGCATAAAAGCTTAAAATATTTAGCTTTTAAATACTCATGTATGAAGATACGCAATATTTTTATTATTTGGATTATAAAATGTGTCTGCGTATACAAAAAATCCAAACAAATCCGAAAT